CTCTGAGACCTTGACCTCGGAATGACCCTCATTCCAGCAGTGGCTGGCTGCACTTGCTTTCTCTTGCAGGGTGCCTGCCTTCCCAACAGTGCGTGTCTTGGTGAGGGAGGGAGAAAGGAGGAAAATCCTTCTGGTTTCTGATATAATATGATGTCAGTGGCTCCTGGTCCCTACTGTAGTGTAGCACCAGCAGTTCCTATCACTGTGTTTTCACATGTTCCTGATCTGAGCTTCCTTTCTGCCACTGTCCCTCTCATGTAGCACAGTGCACTTGTGGAACCCCAACTCCTGTCACTACTTCTTAGTCTTTTTCTGCTGATTAAATAAACCTTCTTGGTAGTAATTTTTTTGCAGGCTACAGTTGGCAATTTGGCTGTTGCCTACCTGCAGCAAGGATGCTTGAACCAGCTTTGTAATTAAAGTTCATACACGAAACAACTTGCAGCAGGTTGCACCAGAGGTCAGGGGGCTAAGCCATATTTATTTTAACACTTGTTGACTGATGAAGTGCAAAATACGAACCCTTACTCAAAATCATAAGAAGAAGAAAGATGCAATGGTTTGGACATGCAACAAGGAGGTCCAGCACCCTTGGCAACACCATCCTGCAGGGTGCTGTGGATGGATGAAGAAGAGGAGGAAGCCCTAGGTCAAGCTCCAACATCAAAGACTGGATGTGATTAAAACTGACTGATTATACAAGTAGTGCAAAAGACTGGGAAGAATGAAGGAAAGTTGCTACATCAAAGGTGCCCAAATGTTTGGTAAGGCCTCAGGACTGACTGACTGAAGTACAAAATGCCAAAGGGAATGGGCTGGGAACCTTGAATCCTTGTTGAAGAAAAACAGAAGCACCTTCAGGTGACAGTCTTGGACAGTAGGCACTGGATTGTAGGGCTCCAACACCCTGCTACCACCATGCCCTGCTATCCATGGGTGGACCACACTTGGTCACTGCTCCAAGGACATGAAGGATACCCTCTGCCCCTGGGTAGCTATCTTGTCCTTGTGGTACAGTGTTTTTATCCCTACCCTCTCACAATCACCAGCTCCCACACACTGGTGCTGGGCCCATACCAGGCTGTGAGTGCTTGCTTTTGCATCTTCAGTTGTGGGATTTTGGGTCTGTGCCTGAGTCTTGGGGCTTTTTGATATGTGTGGGTCTTGACAGACTTCAGGAGGGGATCTTGGGGTCTCAGGTATATTACAGCCAAGGGTCTTGGTTGTCCAGGGACCTAGATTGTGTGCAGGGGAAACCGCTGCCTTGCCCCTTCTCCCCGCCCTCCTCCTCTGGCATCTCCCTGCAGCCTGGAAGGCAAGGCAGGGCTGGGTTTACAGTGATATCATGGGACAGTTCACCTGGGGAAATCTGAATTGATTCAAATTTGAATCATCTGCGGGAACTGTTCTGGTGTCTGTTAAACCAGTCTAACTCCTATCATTTTACAGTTAGACCTCATTGCCATATTTGGACCAGATTAAGCACTATAAATGTGTGCACAACTAGTGTTTCTATCATATAAAACTTGATTCTATTGATCTAAATGTAACACTTGTACACACCCTGTATTTTCCTGCCAGTAATGTAGCCGCACAGGCTGGGATGTGTTCAGATTTCATTTTCTCTTAGTCTTTGTGTCTTTTAAAACATATATTACAACTATTTCGCTACTGTGGCAACATACTGCATAAAGTTATATAGGGAAAAGATGGAACCTTTTTCAGTGACTCATATGCTTAATAGATTAGTGCCCCATCCCTCTCATTTCAGAATTTCACTTTCACTTTCATTCTGGAGATACATATTACCAATTACTATGTGAATATGAGAATCATTAACACTCTGGCATGAGCTGCATTACTTAAATTCGCTTGTTATTGATAGTTCCAATTATAAATACTGCAAAATAGTGCAATAAACCTATGCAAAACATTATGGTGCAGGAAGTTTCTATTTCTACCTATTCTAACTCATTGTATAATTTATATTTAAAGCAATAAGATTTGTCATGGATTTCATTTAATTTATACCCATCTGAAACATGGAAACCTTAATTAGCCCCAGCATCTAGGCTAAATGCCAACTCAGATAATTATATTCTACTCTACCTAAATTTCTCCAGGAATTAAATTAGGTATTCAATTCTTTTTAGAAGCATCATTTCGTTGATTTTCTCTGAGGAATGGCTGCTCCATTTTCCCCTTCAGGGTGCAGTTTACCAACAAATTCAAAGTTAACCAGAAAACACAAAACAAAAGAAATTTCTGTAGAATACCCAAACTACCAAGGCCCACAGGCATTTCCCTTTGCCTCTCCATCCCCTCTTTGGAAAATAGCTCTTCCTGGTACAATCATGAAAGAGATGTATTTCATTGTTACATATTGATTTTTTCAATATGTAATATCAACCTTTCTTTAGGTTGATGTTAAAACCTTTTAGATTTAAGATGTCTAATTTGCAAAACAGTGTAGTCCATTGAACGGGACACTGGACTAGGCCAGATCTTAGGACTTATGCGCCTAACCTATGACTTGGGTGCTTGCATTATTTCTTTATGTGGTTATTAAATGCAATGGCTGATTAAACAGTGATAGAAGCAAGGACTGAAACTCATGTCTTTCTTCTCCTCGATGAGTGCCCTAACATGACAGACACATGGCTTCCTCTTGTACTTTCTCATTCTGGCCCCATGAATCTTGTACTCCTTTCCACACAAGGGAACAGCTTAAGCAAGAAAGAAGATGGGAGCCCCATCCAACCCAGCCCATAGTTGTTACAGCACTCATCTGGCAGGTGGGAACTTTATGTTTCAGTACCTTCACACTGAGGAAGGTATTGAATCCTCCTGCTTCCTATGCAAGTCACTAGGCTACTAGGTTATTTTACCAGGAGGTGAGTACTGGGACAGAGCTAGGAGCAACAGCCTCAAGCTGCTGCAGGGGAAATTTAGGTTAACAATTAGAAGGAACTTTCTGACTACGAGGGTGGTCAGGCATTAGAACAGACTATTTAGAGAAGTTGTATAATCTCCCTCCTTAGAAACTTTCAAAAACAAATTAGACAGATACTTGGCTGGGATAGTTTAATCAGCAATGATCCTGCCTTTATCAGGCACCTGGACTAAATGTGTCCCTTCCAGCTCTACTTTCTTATGATACTACAATCATGATGCAGGAGCATCTAAATGATGGCCATATTTTTGGATGAGCCCTGCTCAGTTTAGTGGAAACAAATTTGCTGCCAATCTGCTCCCATTTCCCAGGGTCCTGCAATAGCTCCCCCCTGCCACCAGGGTGAGCTCCAGGCTGTGGCTGCAGCTGCCAGCAGCTAGAAGCCCTCTTCAAAAGGAAGCCCTGTTTGCTACTCTCTGGCCAGCCACCTCCTCATCGCCTCTGCCTCCCCACATCATAGCTGCCCCTGCCCCTGCCTCTGGCAGCAATGACCAGCACCCTGTGTTCCTGCTGGCCACCGCACCAGCCCTGCTGGCCTTCTGTGCCAAATGCTGCCTGGCCCATGGTTGTCTGGGCCCTCCCAGCTCAATGACCACCTGCCAGATCACCATGTGCTGTCCCAGGCCACCATCATGCACCTCCTGCCTAGACCCCATCCACCTGGCTAGACCCTGGCAGTGATGCCAATGACAGGCTGCTAGACAGGCCTCCAGCCCCACCACCTCTGGGCCAGCCAGGACTGATGGCAGCACATTGTCCAGCACACCTGGGACAATGAGCAGTATTTGGAGGTCTTCTGCATGACCTGGACCACTTGTCAGAATCTCCTGGAGCAGCTCCAGCCCCACCTAGAGCCGCAGGACACTGGCATGCGCCTGCCTCTCCCCATGGACATATGGTTGGCCCTCAACCTGCTTAAGCTATCCATGCCTACCAGCCTGCAGTATGTCAACCATCTGTTTGGCCCAGGCAAGCCCACCAGCAGGGAGGCCATCCTGGAGGTGTGCAGCACCCTCCAGGATATGCTGGCAGACACCATGCACATGTCCATGTTCATGACCCCCTGGCAGTGACTGCAGGTTTCCATGCCCTGGGATTCCATCAGGGCCCTGGACAGAACCTACATCCCTGCCACCCCATGGAGACTGCCTCTCCTATAGTTGGAGGGATTTTCACTCTGTGGTACTCCAGGCCATTGTGGACCACTGCAGGAACTTCATGCATGTGAGTGCCAGCTGGGCAGGCAGAGACAACAACTCCCATATCTTCAAAAACTCCAGCCTGCTGGGCCTGGTGGCCAATGGGTGTTTTACAGTGGGGGTGTTGGATCTGCAGCTGGGCACCATGGTGGTACCATCCCTCCTCATCAGGGACCCAACCTACCCACTCCTTCCCTGGCTCATGCAGCCCTACACCGGCCAGCTGGACCCCCGCCAGGACCAGTTCAACTGTTGGGTCATATCAGCACCCTAGGCTGGATCTGTGCCCTAGTGGAGCGCACCTTTGGCTGCCTCAAGGGCTGCTGGTGCACCCTCACTGCCTGCCTCGAGTTCACTGACAACAACCTCCCCTTGGCCATTGTAACAGCCTGCATGTTACATAACATTTGTGAGGCCTGTGAGAAGCTCCTTCATAAGGCCAGGGCAGAGGAGGAGCAGCATGTGGAGGACACCTGGCAGTGGGAGCACCACATGTGGTAGGATGACAGCAGCACCCCTCCCACCTTTCATCCTGCTGAGGCCTCAGGAGAGCCACACACCTGCCAGCGGGGGCCAAGGCACTGGATATGGGAGGCGCTGGCTGGCTGAGACTACTCCCAGTTGCAGTCTGCCTGCATCACTGACCATGGACCCTACACCCTCCGTGCCCACTCCTAGCACCATGCTCACTACAGATGTCTCAGAAGAACAAATGTTTATTCTCCTCGCATCAACCAGAGATGCCTTCCCCTCTCCTTCTCCAACAGTTCTCCCTCCCTTCTCCACTCCTCCCTGCCCAAAAACAGAGCCCCTCCACCACCCACCCCACCCATCAATAGTTGAAAACCTTCTTCAGTGTGAAAACTATGTACAAAGTGCATTGTATGCCATTCCAGGGTGATGCCATACCTAGGGGGCAGAACCTAGGGACCGTGATCTAGCAAACTGCTCTCTGGCTGCTCCCTCATGGGTTCACACAACATGGTGAGTGCAGTGAGTGGGGGGCTTTCCCAGGGGCAATGGTGAATGGTGGTCCTCTGGTGTGGGTTGCTCCCCCTCCAGCAGCCAGTATCCAGGGCCAGCAGGGCCAACGTGTGGGTCCTGGTCCTACTGCAGGCAGTTCCAGCTCCATGCCCACATGAAACCAGGAAAAGCAGAAGGGCTGGTTGGCACTGGACCCAGGGCAGGGACTCCTGGTGGCATTGTAGGACCTCCTCCAAGGCCCAAGTAGGGGCATGCTACTGGGTGGTGGGTGGCTGCCAGGGGATAGCATGAAGGTGAATGCCAGGGCCAAATTGGTGTCCAGGACCCAGCAGTTGTCATCCATGCCCTGCACTGCCTCGGCCAGGATGGCATTCTGCTCCCACAGCACCTCCACCAGCTCATGCTTCAGGATCAGGAGCTATGCCCAGAACTCTGTCCACCCAGTCCCATGCCTCCTTGTGCTGATCCCATGTCTCCTCACGCTGGTCCCATGCCTCCTCACAGGTGACTTCCTCCATTCACCACCTGTCCTGGAAAGTCACATCTCTACCTGCTGGGCCCAAGTGTCTGCCAGATGGTCCTCTGATGCCATAAACATGAAGTCCAGGAGGAGGGTCCTGTCCAGGGTCTTCCTTTGCTGGAGCTAGAGCATCTTTGGGGCCCTGGCTGTGGGCAGCAGTGACTCCAAGGCTGCATCCCAGCTGCCAAGAGTGGCCTCTCTACCATGTGCAGCTACAGGCTCTGTAGAGCCATGAGAGAGAAGATTTTTATGAGATTTGCAACATTTCAGAGATCAGATGCTGTGCCCAGCCTCAGATTGGGGGCTCAGGCATGCACAGGTGGCCAGGGACCATGTTAAGTTATCTGGGCAGGCCTGGGCCCAGGATACCACTGGATGAGCCCCCTGTCCCCACTCACTCCCAAGGGGCTGGTGGGCCAGGGGTGTTTAGGCAGGCCAGGTGGGAAGGGGGGAAAGAGGCCAGGGGCAGGCGCAAAGAAGGCCCTCTCCACAGTGTGGACCTTACCACATGGATGGGGCTGGCATGACTGGTGGCTCCACACAGTCACAGTGGTTGGCGATGATGTGCAGCTGTAGGTGGTGTCACCAGGTGGTGGGGCATGGCAGGTGGGCATCCAGTCTGGGAATGAGCTGGTGCTGCTGGCAGTCAGTGGTGTCATGGCTGGCTGCATCTAATGATGATGGCTGGGGCTGTGGTGCTGACACAGCAGGCACTGTCCAGGGCGCTCTCAGATGCTGATGAAGGGTGCAGCTGGGGAGGACAGTGGCAAGGGTTGCTGGACAAATGAGGGACCGTTCCCCGGTGAATTGTCACCAGGGATGCCAGCCCGAGGTAAGGGCTCAGGGATGTCTGTCAGTTGTCATATAAAGGGCATATACTTACGGGTACTCAACTCATTGGTGATGGAAACCCACTGTGCCCACAACAGCCTTGACCTTTATGTGGCATTGCCATGCTGGCCAGTCAAGCCTGCGTTCCTGCATAAAGGCTGACAGCCCCTCATAGATATGGGTATTGAAGCACCTGCCCTGCTCAAACTGGTGCTGCACCTCTGCCTCACCCCACAGTGCCATGATGTCATCAGTATCCTCCTATGACCAGTTGGTGCCCTGCATGGTGGGCATGGGTGCAGGCATAGCTGTGGACAAGAAGGATGCTATTGTGGGTCCCACACCATCCCTCTGGGCCCCCATGCAGCTGTCCTTGTGATGCCAGGCCTGGGTAGCTGCCTGCAGTGCCCAGTGAAGAGACCCAGCACAGAGTCCTGTGGCAGCTGTGTGGCAAAGGCAATGCTCTGCAGCACCTGCAAAGTTAGGACAGGCTCCTGGGGGTGGGCTGCGGGTAGGTGGAACTGGCCCCAGCAACCAGAAGCTGACAGGACTGACTGGGTCCTCCAGCAGAATGAAGCACCCTGCAGGTCTGGACAGTATGGGTGTGAAAGCTGCACGGCACAGTGGTGCCAGGTAGCACTACCAGAGTGCAGGCAGGCTGGGGCAGCTGATTTGTGGCCTGCCCCAGGGGACAAAGGGGCCTAGAGTGCCCCGAGGCTCCCTGCTGGTGTGCCCCAGGGCTCTGAGTACCTGCAGGATTTTAAAAGACTGAGGCAGGGCCTGCCCCCTAGAGGCAGGGATGACCCAGAAGCAAACTTGCTCCCAGGGCGCATCTACACATGCATTACTGTGCAGTAACTAATCTCAAGTAAATTTGGTACTTGCATTTGCAGGTAGCAAATGTACTCACAATTCAGCATTTTTACTGGGCAGTAAGTGTGCACACATGTAGATGCATGTGCTTACTGCACAGTAAACTATGCTACTATGCAGTTAAGCATCTCATGTAGACATGTCCCCTGGGTGCATCTACACATGCAATTAATGCCACTGAATTTACTCTGGCGCAATTTGCACTGGAGTAAACTAATCCAGGCAGTGTGTCTGCATGTGTATTTAATTACACTAGTTTACTTTGCCATCAGATAGTACCTGTATCTGACAGGACTATCCTATGCCAGAGTAAATTTATCAACTGTAGCCTAATTGCTACACACTTGTAGACAGTGACACTTTACCTTACAATTAAGACATGCCCATTCTTATGCATTTTTTTAGTATTTCCTATTGGCAAATTCTGGGGGGGGGGGGGAGAAAGAGAGAGAGACAGAGGAGGCTCCTTGCTCTGTGTACACATTTTTTGGATTGCCTTTCTTAGACACCAAATATTCTTTATGTAATATATAGGGAACTTAGACACTCAACTTTAAGTACTAGAGTCTGCCAGTAATACCTTTTGTTGTCTCTGAAATAGTGTCTTTGATGATTACAACCTCAGGACCCAAACCAAACGTCTCATCTACCAGGCTGTTGTCATCCCTACCCTGCTGTATGGGTGTGACACCTTGAAACACCTGAAGTCAGAGATGTCTTCAGAAAATCCTCCATATCAATTGGAAAGATGGCAGAACGAATGCCAGGATTGTGGCTCAAGCAAACAAACAGTGCCAGCATTGAAGCCATGTTTATATGGCCCACTCCAGTAGACTGGATATGTTATAAGGACACTTGATGACAGGGTCCCAAAACAGGTCCTACACTCCCAACTCACCAGTGGTCACTGCATTAGAGGTGGGCAAAAGAGATTCAAGAATACCTTGAAGGTAAATTTAAAGAAATGTGAAATTAACAACAACACCTGGGAGACTGGAACACTGAATTGTTCCCAGTGGCGATGTGAACCATGACAAGGCATTGACCATTTCAAGCAACCTCACCTCACTATGGAAGCAAAAAGACGGGAGAGACAAAAGGAAGGAGCTGTTACCTGACATTACCAGGATCTATTTCATGCTCCTGGAACAATCTGCCATGTCTGCAGTCAAATGTGCAGATCTCAGATCAGCCTCTTTGGTCATCTCTGGACTCACCAATGACTTCTCTATCTACAAGAATATTGTCATCCTCTTATTCAAGGACTGCTGCCACCATCAACTAGATTCCAGTATCTTGTTGTAGTGGAATACAAATTAGATACACAATATGGATAAAAGATACGTGTCATTTAATTTTTTTGTTGTGTATCTTTAAGTTTTAAAAGAACATTACTTATTATTTGTAAAATATTAGACATGCAAAAATGAATATTTATAACCACCAGTTTGGTGTTCATCAACCAACATTTTATGCATCTTCTACATAAATATTTAGAAACTCTCCCTAAAAGTATTCATTAACATTTTAAAATGAAAAATAACTGCTATTGTTCCTTTAATGCAATTGGCCATCATTCAAAGTTATTAAGTCATAATTAAGAGAGCCAGTGCAGCTTCTCAAATTGGGAAATGATAACTGCAATTATCATTAATTCAATAAATCGTGACTGATAGAAGTAAGATGTATTTTAAACCTGAGTTTTTAGCTAACATCCCAAAAGACATGGGTATTGAAATAACAAAATCAAATGGCGGTCATCATTTGTACATGAAACTCACTATATTTTTCATTTGCTAATGCACTGAATCTAACTGAGTTCTCACACCACTGTAACAAAGGCTGCAAAACTGTGCAGACAGGGGAAAAAGTGTGTTTTTATTTTGTGTGTGCTATTTCAGTGTGAACCAATGAGCTCTGGTGACACCATGCTGGCATTAGTGGAATGTTTTGGGTGGTACTACTAGGACTCATCATTCAACCCCTTCAATGGGAAGTCAGAGAAGCAAATATTCCATGCATTTGTATTTATCAAAATGCAAACAGTACCCCAATACTCTTCCAGCTTCTACTGGTTTCAGTCACTGATGTAACCTGCTTGGAAAATTAAAACAAAAGAGGCTTGATTACCCTGTTTCTACAACTGGCTGTTTTGGGTTTTAGAGATGCTAATGAGGGTCAGAAGCTAATGTTTCTGAAAGATGCAGACTCAAGGAGAAATTTATGTGCTGTGTACTCCATTACTATTACCTTATCCAAACTTAAAACATCTTGTTTAAAGCAGGAAAATAGCAGTAAAGTTCAAGAATTCTCTGTGGAGATACATGAGCCCAGATGTTAATTGATAAAGGTCAGTGTTAAAACCTCTTCTAAACACAAATGTAACATTAAGCAGGAGCAGCTAAAGCAAAAACAAGTTGGCTTACAAATCTTCATAGGAAGCCTCTTTCTTGAGCTAACAAAAAGAGAAAACCAATCTTCAGATCATCGTTACTGATGGTATTAAAATTGTTAGTGATCTTCTGGGCTAGACTCTTTTATTTTTCTATTATGTTAATCTGCAAAATATTATCAATACAAACAAACAAGTTATAATACTGAAACAGTTCTAAATTTAAAGATTAAAAGATTTTACCAAAATCTTGTTCATAATTGAAAGCTGTGAAAGAGGGAATAAATCTTTGGGCTGGATTCAGATTTGCTTAACATGAATAAAATTGGACATGATACAGAAAAAAAAGTCACTTTTTTCCTGTGAGACTGACAGGATACACAGAAAATATGATTTTCTTTTCAGAAGGCATATAGTCTGCTTGCCTAAAAATGGCAAGCCAAAATAATTAATTTCTTCACTAAAATTCCTTGCTGAACACAAGTTTCTGTTTAAACAATGTGCTGCTTCTACCAGCAAAGTACCTTTTTTATTTATTTATTTTTGTGGGGGGGAGCTTTTTGGTGCTTTTATCTACTGCCGATTCAATCAGCTTTTAGACAGAAGGGCTAAATAAAACCCACTAAAGTGCCCAATCTATACAAATGTTGGGCAAGCCTGGTCCAACTAACATGACACCTCTTCGGAGCATGTGCTACCTTGGGCATGGGAGCGTGCCGAGTTTAAGTTATAGAACCATTTGGGGTTTATTTTATTTTAGTTTTTTTTTTACATCTGCAAGCAGCCATATTGTTTAAATAGAAAGTTTTGTTGAGCAAGCTATATGTAGTGAATACAGTATTTTGGCCTGCCATTTTTATGTAGATATGTCCTTTTATGAAAAAGTTTGTTCAACACATTATGAGTTACAGGAACATATTTCAGTTTATTGAATATTTATATGCTATTTTTTCAGTTGTTTGCTTTTTGTTACTTATGATGTATCATTGGTCATTTAAATAATTTATTTTTTTTGCTATCCTGTTGGATGTCATATTTTAATGAAATTGAGAAGGAAATGTAAGAGTTCAAGACACCCAAGTAAAACTAGCATACATACATTCTTGAGAATTTTACTCCTGTGAATGTTCTTGCAAACAAGAAAACAAAGCAAAAAGATCTCAAATGCCATAAAAAAAATTGACCTTGCATTTATAATATAAACTGATATTCACAGGTTATTTTGTATTCATCATACCCAAATAAAAAAAAAGCAGGAGGTTGGCAAGAATCCAAAATCCTACCAACCTGAAAAAAAGATAGCAACAAAGGTTAATCTTATATTGATTGCTGAGTTTTGAGCAAATATTTTATTTTTTTAAAAGACTTTACTGCCTTGGCAACCTACAAAAAATGTAGGTTGTATAATATCCAGGGATCTAGTGATGAAAGCAAAGCTTTTTACACTTACTGATAAGATGTCTAACTTTTGAACAATCAGTATTACATTACTGAAGTCATATTTCTGGGGATTTACCCGGGGCTAGCATTGGTAAGTGGGTTTGCTTCTGATCCTCTTTTCTTTTAAATCTGGCATCTTTTATTCTATCCCATTTGAGTATAAACTGAATAAAAATAGTTTTCCACTGACACTAAAAAGGAAGGGGAAAAGGAGG